ATAAACTATCATTTCTTTCTTTTTTGTCACAAAATTCCACTGAAATGTAGAATTAAAGTCATCATCACACCATTCCAAAAATATTTTCTAATAATATCATCACCATTCCAAAATTTTTTTTAATAATAACTTGTACCATACTAAAGTCATCATAACACCATTTCGTACTTATTTTGCATGCCTTTGGCACTTACATGGAATCACATGTCTTCTAACATGATAAGTCATTGGAATAATATGATTGGAATAACATATTTTATTGTGATAAGCCTTATTTTTATTTATTTTTATAGAAGTCTTTCAAATGTCTCTATATAATTTCAAATAAGCAATAAATTTATGATACCAAATTCAAAATCTTTATGGTACAAATTAAAAAATGGGAGGAAGTTTGATTAGTAAACTAGAAGGTTTGGTAATTGCACTGGAAAATTTTGAGGCATTGGAGGAGACTAAAGAGGTAGAGCTTATCCACACCAAAATAATTGTATTTATGAATGCAGAGAGAGAGGCCCTTAGAGACAGAGGGGGTAGGGCTTACCAGGACTCTCCTGCTTGTCTCTCTTCAGGTTAGCAGCAGCGACTCACTGCTTCTCTCTCTTCAGATTAATAGCTGAAAGGAAAAAGTCCAGATGAGAGAAAGGGGGCTTAAAGAGAGAGGGAGCGCCTTATGAAAACTAGTTATTAGGGCTCAAGAGAGAGAGAGTTGGGGCGGGATTAGAGAGGGAGGGAACACCTATGCAAACCAGTTATTGTGGCTCAAGAAGAGAGAGAGAGAGTAGGGCTTACTAGTGAAGAGAGAAGTGTCGCTTTGGTAAGTTTCTCAGACGAGTTTGAGAGAAGGACAATGGCGGGTTAGCATTTTTTTAAGCGGGGGATAGGGTAGAGAGAGAGACACGAGAAAGATTTCCCAAAGATTACCCGTCAAGGTGCGTAATAGATTTTTCACCCCTCACCAAGCGTAATCGGTTTCGTGATTTTTGGGAAAATCTCGGGTTATCTCTTTTCATTTTCTTACTATTAAAGTGTACCCAAACAGTGAAAATGCCATATTTACTTGTAATCTAATGTCATGTAATAGATTTCCAGGTACTCAAACGGCCCCTAATGGATCATCCAAGATTGCCCACAAACCTGGAGACTAGGTAATGATTCCTCTATTGATCTCGATCTTTAATGAGGAATTACAAAAACAGCAGCACAAGCACACTAACTGCAGACCCACATGGAGTCCTGCCTACAAAACCCTATGAAACAAGCCTAGAAAGTGACCCTAGTTCTTTTTTTTTTATTTTTTATTTTTTATCACAAACCCCATGAATCGATCCTAAGGTTACATTAGGGCTGGCATTAGACCCGTCTCTGGGTCGGGACCTATCGGGTACACCTGACTGGGTCCGGGTATGGGTCCAAACCTTGGACCTGTGGGTAGGGTCCAGGTCCTTCATAATGGACCTGAAGATTCTCAGATAGGGGTCCGGGTCTACTTGGGACCCAGATTTAGCATATATAAATTAATATATTAGTTTTACGTAAATAGTGATTAAATATTAATCAATCGATTAAAAAATTATTAAATATTTTAAAAAGTAACTATTTAACTTAACTGTAACCGAATTAAAAATAATCTAAACCCTAAATCATTTCAGAACCCAAACCTAAATCATTTCATCCTTGTTACACTACCAACCACAAGCCCAGACTTCAGAAGCAGAACCCCTAGGGGCTGAAGAGAGAAAATACGCCTCCGCCTGCGATTTGAAGAGTTGATCCGAGGGGCTACTTTCTATGCTTCGGCGCTCCACTTGCCCATGGAGGTGTTGTCACACAACTCTTTGCTTAGTCATGATGCCCCAACTTTGCAAAGCTCAAAATTTTCGACCCCAAAGCCACAATCACCCCTCTTCTCCAGTTGAGACCACCAGAAGCAGGACGCCAAACCTATCTTTCTCTCTCTACGCACAGTTTGTTGGTTCATGTAACAACCCCAACTCAATTAGTTTTAAAACAAACCTGACAACCTCTCTCTCTCTCTATCTCTAGTTTTCTCTCTTTATGTCTCTGCAACTGAATCCAAGAGCAAAGATTGGTTTCTTACTCTCTATTTGCAGTCCAAAGCTAAAGGCACAAAATTCCTTCTCTCTTCTTTCTCTCCCTATCACTCAGCAATGAAAAGAATACAAAGGCAAGGATTGAGGGCGGTGTTCTTGCTACTGAAATCTTGGAGACAAGTGACCCTTCCCAAGTAAAAAGGCAAAGATTGAGGTCAGGTACGGATCTGTGTCTGGGGTCCAACATCCTCTCTCGTGTACAGGTACGGGGACCATTATTTTGGACCCGATGGGTCCGGGTCTGGGTCCACTGGACCCATTGCCTCCATAGGTTACATTAAAAACGACGCAGACAGTAAAAATAATAATAATAATAATAGGGTAAACAAGGTAGAAAAAGGATAAAGAGCAAGAGGATCAGTGCTTTGATACCATGTTAAAGGGGGGTGAGAGTCTAATAGACTGAGGTATTTTTTGTATTCCAATAATATGAAAAAATTATACGAGGGGTGAGAGTCTAATATACCTCACACACCTCTTATATAATTTTTTCATATTATTGGAATACAAAAAATACCAGCACTGCCCATTCAATCTGCAAATGGGACATATATGTCGTAATGACTTAAAGTATCATCATATGAGCCTTTCCCAACTATCTGAGGTTAGCTACATGAATCATGTTCCACCCATTTGGTCTATCAAGGGTCATACCCTTAGTAAGATTATATGTCACCATATATTTTCTCACTACTTTCATCCATGTCCTTTTGGACCTTCCGCTTGTTGTTTTAGAGTCTTTCACTTGAACCAAATTACACCTCCTAACCGGTGTTGTATTGGCTATACGCTGCACATGGCTAAACCACCTAAGTCTACTTTCCCTCATCTTATTACCTATTGCAGCCACACCTATATTTCCACCTAAGTCTACTTTCCCTCATCTTATTACCTATTGCAGCCACACCTATATTTCCTCTAATGTATTTATTCCGAATTCTATTTTTTATTGTCCTGCCTTTCATCCATCTCAACATCCTCATCTCAGTTGTATATGTATATGTTGTTTCTTGACCAACGAACATTTTGTCGTATAAAGCATGTATGGTCTTACAATTGTTCTATAGAACTTCCCCTTCAGTTTCATTGGTATGCAATGATATCACATAAAACTCTGGATGCACATCTCCGCTTCGCCTGCCCAATTCTAACTACTTCCTTGTTTCTAATCCTATTATTATTAAACTTGCATTCCATATATTCTATTTTAGTCCGACTAATTTTAAAACCTTTAGATTTTAGAGTATCCCCCAAAGTTCTAACTTTATGTTATCGTTGCCTCTAGTCTCATTAATTATAACTATGTCATCCACGACCAGTATGCACCACGGTGCCTCAGCTTGTAGGTGCCTAATTAACTCATCTATAACCATGACAGAGATATGGGCTCAACACTGACCCTTGATGAAGGCCTACTATTACTAAAAATTCACTTGTCTCTCCACTAGTTGTTGTCATACTAGTTAGCTCTCGCTCGTACATATCTCTCACTATGTCAATATAGCCTCTGGAGACTCTTTTCTTTCCCAACACCCACCAAATTAAATCTCAAGGTACCTTATTTCAGGTTTTCTCTAAATCAATAAAGACTATGTGAAGGTACTTTCTCTTTTCTCCAAACTTCTCAATCAATTGTTAGGTAAAAAATTGCCTCAATCATTGACCTTCCTGGTTTAAAACCGAACTTTTGATATACACATTTCATTCTTTAGTCATTGCTCGATCCCACACCTTCATAGTGTGGCTCATAAGTTTGATGCCTCGATAGTTCATTCAATTTTGTTTGTGTCCTTTGTTCTTGTGATAGGTGCCACAATACTTGTTCTCCATTTGTCTGGCATTTCTTTGTTCCTAACATCTTTTTGAACAGCTTGATTAGCCAACATATACCAATATCCCCCATGTACTTCCAAACCTTTATTGGGATAACATCTAGTCCTAAAGCCCTTCCTATTTTCATCTTTCTTAAATCTTCTTTCACTTCAGATTTCTTAATCTTGTGAATGTATCTACGATCTCTACCGTCATTTATGTCAAAGGTTCCTCCTAATGTTGTTTTCCCATAGTGTTCGTCATTTACAAAAATTTGAAAATAAGTTCTCTACCTCTCATTGACCTCGTCATCCTTCACTAGGACCCTCTGATCCTCACTCTTAATACATTTAATATGATTTAGATCCTTACACTTCTCTCTCTTGTTTGCTAGTTTGAAAATATCTTTTCTCACCGCTAGTTTATTGTATAGATTATCATACGCCTTAAGTTTAGCACTACTATTTACTTAGCATTTTTATATACCTCTAAGTTTTGGTCATTTCTATTACATTACCAAGCTTTATAACATGATGGTTTTTCGTTAAAAGCCTTCTGAACCTCTTGACTCCACCACCAAGTTTGCTTATCGGAAATTATTTTCCCTCTATATTCTCTTGAAACTTCTTTTACCACTTTCTTATTACATGCAACCATCTCGTAAATAACTTAAAGGAAAGAGAAATAAAGATAAAAGGACTTTTTAACGCATACCATTTTACAATTTTAGTCTTGTGCTTCATTCAATGAAATTTGTTCAAATTTCACAAGCGATTGAGTCATGTAAGATCTTGTTTTATATTCTTGAGGATTTATTTTGTAGTCATATATCAATGCTCTGCCAAAATTCTGGCTTGGATGAACCGTACTAGTAGTTTAAATTAATGAATTGGTGGGTGTTTTGTGTTCTATGCATCTGTATCTCTAAGGAGTGGGATGGGACAGGTTTAGGATTTTGATGTCTTCTGTTTCATACTTTTCCTTAATGAATGGTTTGTTGCTTTTTCTTTGTAAAAATGGTCATTTACTTACCTATCATACAATTCTCAAATTTCCTTTTTTCTTGATGTTTTGAAGGATCCAATGCTATCTAGAATGATCATATCAGGAAGTCAGTTTGGTTGCTCTGAGGAGATGATCATAATTGCAGCATTTCTGTCTTTGCAAGTATGTGATTGTTTTCTATGCCAACCAACTTTGAATTGATTTGAAAGTCTTTACATGTGTTTCTCAAATTTGTAGATAAGAGGCAGTGATTCCTCTATTTCTCAATCTTTAAGTCAATATCTTCTGCTCCAATTTGCAGTCCATCTGGGTTATTGGAAGAGGAACACAAAAGGAGTTAGACGAGGCAAAGCAGGGATTTGCTGTTGCAGAGGTGTATTGGCTTATGCCATGAAGATTTTGAGCGATATAGCATGCTTCATTTATTGAGCTTTGAGACTGATTGTTTACTTATTCCTCATAAATTTGCATTTCATATATTCTATCTTAGGCCAGCTAATTTTAAAACCTTTAGATTCTAGAGTATGTAATTCTTACTTTGCGTTGACGCCATCTTTACTCTCATCAATCAAAGCTATGTCATCTGCAAACAACATATACCACAAGACGTCATCTTATAGATGCATAGTGAACTTGTCTATAATCAAAGCAAAGAGATATTGGCTCACGACTGACTACTGATGTAGGCCTACTGTTACTGAATACATAATTGTCTTTCCACGAGTTGTCGTCACACTAAGTAGTGGTCCCTCATACATATCCGTTGCCATGTCAATATATCTTCTAGAGACTCCCTTCTTTTCCAATACCCTGCAAATTAACTCTCTAGGTCTTCTATTGTATGCTTTCTCTAAATCAATTAAGACTATGTGGAGGTTTTTGTTCCTCCCTAAACTTCTCAATCAATAGCCTATCTAAGAAATTAGCCTCAATGGTTGGAATTTCTTGGTGGAGAACCAAACTGATTTTTATTTTTTTATTTTTTTATTTTTTTTGAGAGAAAAACTGATTTTTATTTTAAGTGGGCTGAAGATAAAATGAAATTTTTTTTTTAATCAACAAACGAAATCCCACAATGTTTGATCTTCTTTGTATTCTTCTCCTTTCTCCTCCTTGTTTGCATGAGTGAAACGTTTAAGTATCATGCCAATTAGGAAAATCGTAGCTACCTCAACTAATGGTGCGTCTTGTGATTGCTAAGCTATTCCAGTGTTGAGATGTTCAACAGAAATTACCTGGTCAATCTCATGTTCATTGAGCTAGTGCAACATGTTCTTATTGAGGTACTCAGTTTTCAATACATATTTCACTATAGCATCAAATAAAGCACTTGTTCTGTGAAATGATTTGGAAAAAAATAGAACTGTATCCTTGCACTGGATGTGATATAACCATATCTTTCAAGACAATCATCAATTAAAATCATAAGATGTTTTTGAATTTGTAAGAGGCAAATGGTTGGTGCCTAAACATATCAATGTAAAGAGAGAAGGGTTTCATTAGATGGAACACTTTGACTAGGACTCTTCGTTTTGACGACTGACAAGTTATTTTTATTGTCTTGCCATGTAATTTTCCTCACATCGAAGAAGGATAAATGATATCCCACAATGTGCTAGTTTTGTGAAATTTTTAGGAGGAAAATCCACATAATTTGCAAATAGGATTCTAAAAACCTTCTAACTTGGTAGACTTGTATAGTTTTCTAGTTAAGGTAACGTAATTTGTCGTAAATCATTTCCCCGGGTTGTAGAGCTTCTTGTTGTGTAATTAGCTTGTGATGATGTTCATTAATATAATGCACCATTCAAGCAATTCTCCAAGATGTTTAGAGCTTGAGTTTGGGTATTTAGTTCCTTATGCTATTCACTAATGTATCCTTTTCAAGTAACTCTCAAATTGGAAGCTTTTGAGCAATTATTCCATTGTAAAACTGAAGAAACGAACTTCTATTTTGTTTTTAATTAGTTTGTGATACTTATTTTTTGAACTCTGTTGGCTCTCTACCTATGTAACTTTATTTGATCAATATTTCCAAATTTATTTTATGCTGTCTAATATCCATGGTTATTGTGCAGGGTGACCACATTACCTACCTAAATGTATATAAAGGATTCCTACTTTCAGGTAAATCGTCCCAATGGTGCCACAAGAACTTGATAAATTATCAAGCCATGGTGGGTACCTCTTTCTGTACTGTTAATATCAATTGTAAAAAGACATTTATCTGATTGCATCTTTGAATCCACACACTAAAAAAATGAAGAATCCCATCAAGGCATTCCAAATAGCCTTTACTGGTTCACTGGATCCCATCACATATCTATATGGAATACATTGTTATGGGAGATTGCTTACAGTTATAGTAAATCATGTGCAGAAGAAAGTCCTAGAAATCAGAGAACAACTCCATAAATTGGTGCAGCGCCTTGGTCTTGTCTTAAAGTCTTGCGGCCAAGACACACAGGTTGTTTGTAAACCTTCTTGGTGACATTCCTTTGTAATGGCTTTGTTGATTTTTTTTATTTTTTTTATTTTTTTTATTTTTTCTTCATCCTGTATTCTGATTAGTGTGTGATCTTGTTCTTTTACTGGTTCTGTGCTTGTATAGTTTGTTTAATGATTGACCTTTAGCTTTCAGCTTTTGTTATTATATTTTTTGCTGAGAACATGAGAGGGCTGCACTTTACATGTTTTTAAAGGATAAAACCTGATACAGATGAATAGTATTGTGAATTCTCTTCATGAAATCATGGATGTTGTTTAATGTTTAAGGTTATTTTTTTATTTTTTAAAAAAATGTTTTGCTATTTAAGGTCTGTGTTTGGTTCGGTAAAATCATATTAAATACATGTTTCCCTTGAATAAAATCATATTAAGTATGTGAAACCCCCCTTTATTTTCTAGTTATTCATGTTTATGAGAAATATTCGAAACGTCATTTTGTTGGGAATTTTCTTAGAGCTTATTTGACTTTGAATTTGCATGATTTGCATGGTCCTTTGAAATATTCTAAAATAACAAATGTGAGTTTCTTATTAGCAAGTTGTCAACCATTGGTAATTACCTTCTAGCTTGTTGACCAGTGGTTAGATTAGTCATTTGCTGCATATAATCATGAAAAATATGATGTTTCTCCTTTTATTTGTGTTTTAACAAATGAAATTTGTTATAGTCTACTTATCAACACGGTAGACATTCTTCCATCTGCTTTTAACTTGTCCCGATGGCTGTTGATACCCAAATGTGAGCATTTTCACTTGTCAAATAATACTTAAAGAAAAAAGATATATTTTTACTTATCAACAAGTTTAAAAATAATGTTTTAGTTTTTCTAAAAAAACTTTTCATACCTATTTTGGAAGATATTCTCCATCTATTATAGGACATGCTCTTTAACAACTGTCCCCACTACTTATTGCCTTGAATTCTAATTGACAATGGATAAGCATTGTCTTTTATTGTTAGCACATGTATAGAATATGTTCCAGTGCCATATAATTTGGGAAGATCATTTTCAAACCCTTATAAGATTCTACCATTATGCTGGCATGGAAACATTACTAATGCATACTTTTTTTTTTTCCTGTGTAGGTGCATAAGGATGCCCATGAATCTGACCTCTTCATTTATGTTCGTTTATTAAGAGAGAAATTCGTTAAAAATTTGCATATTTGTTATCTTCCAAATGGACAAACTCATGTTCATTGGTGTTCTCTTTCTTTAGGTGGTAAGAAAGGCAATTACATCTGGATTCTTTGCTCATGCTTGTCGCTTGGAGGTAGCTGGATTTTAGTGCTAGTTTTTTATTCTGCATTTAAAGTTGCCTCCTGTTGAAGACTAATCATGTAACATGGGTTGAATAATTCTTATACTTGTATAAACTTTGCTACATTGTCTCGACTTCTTTGTGAATATTGCGTAATTGACGTGCTTAGTTTGTTTCATATCTATTCTCTCCGTGATTGAATTATAACTTACTGTCTAGCCTAGAGTTTCTTTTTAATGATGAGGTGTTCATTAAATTTTCCTTGTATATATTTTGGGGCCTCATTAGATGATAATTAATTTTATTTGGAATTAGACTATCTTAACTTCAATTAATATACTCTAGATTATTGCTTGACGCTGCTATACTTATAATTATAAAAAGGAGAGCACTCTCAATTACATGGGAGCATACCTGTGGGCATAGTGTTAGTTCTACCCTGGAGTACATGTTCCCCTGGGTTTGCAGTAGTTTTCCAAAGTGATGATTGAGTTGGCCGAGATAGTGCCAACTCACTTTGGTCCTCTGTTGCAGGAAGGCCATATTATTTTGTTGGCTGTTTGGTATGTACTTTGTATTATATATCATCATCATCTAAGCCTTATCCCAACTATTGGGGTCGGCTAATATTATTCATTATTTAACTTTTTTCCCAATTTTCAGCTATTTCTGGCTAAAAGCATGTGATTTTACTAAATTACTTTGAATAAAGCTACAACAGTTTTGCAAAAAGATAAACTTATATGTAAAATGACATATCAGTTTATCTCAGATAACTTTATATGATGGACATTGTGCAAACAAAAAATAATTCGCTATCAAGATTTATTTTATTGAAATAGTGAATTATCTGTGAAAATGAGTGCATTCAAACATGTCTTTTAGCTGTAAGGTTGTTTCTGTCCAAGGCAAAGTTTTACATAAAAAAGGACATACTTATGTGAAAGCTTATTTACATTAGCAATTAAATGCATAAATGTTACATGTGGCAAATGTATTCAGTGAATTCATGCATTCACCACATTCTTTGGACATAGATGCATAAATAGAAGATAGAATACTGTGGTACACATGATGTTCACATTGTGTTGTGATTTTTTGTGTACTAACATGGTATGTAAAAACTTCTAACTTGAGATCAATTCATGCAAACTCAAACCAAATAATTGTGGCTCTAAACCAAATAAACTCTGAACCCAATGGATATCTATTCCGGATCGTGATTGCGTCATATTATGTAGGCATGTTAAGTGTGCTCAATACTGACTTGCATTCTCGTTAAAAGAAGTACAAATCTCTTAAAGTGCATTCTAGTGTATTTTTTAATGAATATTCAGATATGTTTTTTGTTTTTTAAATATAAGAATACTCATTGTCTGATTATACACGATGATTTAGTATTAATTCTTCTGTATTTTTATTTGAACAACATGCTTCTTGACACTCTTTCCGTGTGATCCTTCAACATTTTTGTTGCTTGTAGAATGGCTTGTATTTGTCCAATTATTGTTGTGGATTCCATGAAACTGCAGAAGATCGGACCATCGTCCACGTCATTGTGAAATTTGTTCTTTAATAGAATTGCAATTAACGTGCATTTGTGCTAATCAAAATGTTGCTATTTGCTCATTGACAAATATCTTTGACGTTTTTTAAATTGTCAATTGCAACAAGTTAGCTCTTTTTATTGGGTTGCTTTCCTGAGTATAAACACTGATAACATGGTAGATCTCATAGTTTATTGACTTATTCTACCCGTAGAGTTCCAGTCATGGAGGGATGTACAAAACAATCAGGACTTCTCAAGAGGTTTACATTCATCCATCATCTGTTTTGTTCAGGTTTGTGTTACAAATTTTCTTGTTACAAAGTTCATTTTCTTTATTGTACACTTGGTATGCTTCTATATCTCTCTGTCCATGTCTGCATATGAATTGAGTTGCGGTTAAGAATTTGAGCAACTTACGCACATCTTAAATGAAGACTATTTGTGTTATATTCAAGTCCTTTCACCAGATTACCATTAGATTTTGTTTCTTTAGCTTATTTTGATCAATCGCTAATTCCTCTTAGCATATATCTGTCCCTTACTAAACCGGATGTCCCATCACCCCTGCGCGAGAAAGGAATAAGGGATGTTGCAGTCCATCCTATTGAACATGGACTAAAATTAGACCTTGAATTTTCTTAGTTTTACTTTTCTATGATTAACTCAGTTGTTACTTTGTTCTATTTTCTTTTCTTTCTTTCTGCAGAGTGACTCCAAAGTGGGTTGTCTACCATTCCCTTGTGTCTACTGACTGTCAGTATATGCGCAATGTTATTGCTGTGGACTCCTCCTGGTTCACTGAATTGGCTCCTCACTTCTTTCAAATATAGAAGCATAATCCCACTCCTTACTAACTGCTGTTTGAAGAGTGGTGAGGATGCTCAAGCAGGTGGTATGGATTATATGTACTTTCTATGTAACACTTCTGCTGGCTAGTGTGGAGGGAACATAGATGTGAACGTATGTTTCTGTTACGAACGTGAGTAGTTCCTAAATTTTTCAAGGAACTATGTCTCCTGTTTACTGTCTGATATGTATGATATAACTGTTACTCTCCACATGCAATGGGGAAGTACGCCAGTGATATATGACGCATATAGTACACCACAGTTCTGATGACAAACAGTGGAGCTGGGTGCAGTTATCTTCTCATCCAAGATCAAGAAATGGACGCTCCTATGGTGTTAGCACACAGCAGTGGTGTATGGTGCACTTCTGCTTTATTTAATGTGTGGTACTACATCGACCAAGTTTGTGCTGGCCTGTAGATGAATCATACTTACATGTCTATCTTACACAACTCTCTCTTATTGAGGGAAAATAAATAGGAGTATGAACTCTAAGTTACTTTTAGTTTTTTCCCTCCAATTTTCCTATAAGTTCTCTTCAAGAAAATGAGTTACGTTTATAATTATTAGAACATCTATCTCAAATTTTTATTCTCGTTCTATCTCACACAAATCTCTGTTACTAATGGAGAATAAATGGGAACATGAATATTAAATTACTTCCATTTTTTCCTTCCGTCCAATTTTCCTAAAATCTATCCTTAAGAAAATAAGTTTAGAATTATTAGATATCTTACATATTATTCTCATTTTCTAAAATCTCTCCTTAATAAAATGAGCAAGTTTAGAAGTATTAGATATATCTCATATTATTCTCACTCTTTAATTCCATGTGCATTCATCTATATTTATCTCTAAAAACCAATTCCTCAAGTATGGGAAAAAGAGTCCTCATTTATTTCTTGAATTTTTAGTGACTCCTTTCGACTCCCCCTGTATGCAAACTCGTGTTGAATCGTAATTTGATCATAGCAATGGTCTCAGGCTTGATGATCAGGTTCTCAACGGTACCGCGTGACATCTTGAGTTCAATTTTTATCACTCTAGTGTAGAAACGAAAAACAATCCACGAAAAACATGAAAAAAGAAACAAACACAAAAGAAAGAAACAATCAACTACAATGTAAAGATATACGTAGTTCAGTAACGAGCTTATGTCCACAAGAGATTAGAGCTTTTTTATTTGCAGTGTAGAAACGAAAAACAATCCACGGAAAACAAGAAAGAAGAAACAAACATAAAAGAAAAAGACAATCAACCACAACATAAAGATATACGTGGTTTGACAACGTGTATATGTTTACGGGAGATTAGAACTTTTTTACTGGCAATGGAGAATAGGGTTACAATTCACTCACTTTTTCACGGCTCTGTTTTAATTTAATTACAAAAAGATCTATATGATTCCTTTAACTCTTGCCAATGGCAACGATATATATCAAGTCGCTGATAAATGGTACAAATTATCGAAATATTCTTGTACGGATATATATTTCAAGTTTCAGATATATCGAATTTCATATACGGGTATATCCGAACATTGACAGATATATTTCTTCAGAATACAAGACATCAATCCTCAACAATCTCCATCTTGGCTTGAATTCTGTTGAGCCATCTTAAAGATGTCTTCATCCTCGTACATACATAAAGGTACGCTACTACACCCCCACCTGCTATGGGGTGCTTTCCATACTCTCAACAATGAGAGACATTAAACAAGTACAAGCAAAGCTTGAATTTCTCCGAGGTGATCGGCTTTGTAAGCATATCTGCAGGGTTATCATTTGTATGAATTTTTTTTAAGTGAATGATTTTTTCTAACACAAGCTCTCTAATCTTGTGATATCTCACATCAATGTGTTTTCTCATTATATTAAACTTTTGATTCTTTGTAAGATTTATGATACTTTGACTATCACAATGCAATACAGTACCTACTTGCTCCACCCCCAACTCACGAGCCAAACCAATCAACTAGATCGTCTCATTTGCAGCTTCAACTGTTGTCTTATACTCTGCCTCTATTGTAGACAAGGCAATCTTGGGTTGAAGTATTGCCTTCCAAGAAATAGGTCCATCTACTAGACATACCCTGTAGTAGACCTTCGCTTGTCTAAATCACCAGCATAGTCGGAATCGACATAGCCCATCAATTCTGTAGAGCTTTTCTTCCTGCTGAACATAATTTCGAGATCTAACGTCCCGCTCAGATATTTGAAAATTCACTTAATAGCATTCTAATGCTCCATTCCAAGATTACTCATGTATCGACTAACAACACTAACAGCATGAGATAAATCCGGTCTGCTACAAATCATAACATACATGAGGCTTCCGACTGTGCTAGCATATGGCACCAAAGACATCTGCTCTATCTCATCGTCCGTAGTAGGACACTGTCGATAACTTGAAGTGACTCACCAATAGAGTGCTAATTGACTTAGTCTTTTCCATGTTGAAATGCTCCAGCACCTTTTCAACATATATTTTATGAGTTATCCAGAGTTTACTTATACTTCTATCTCTATGAATCTTCATACCAAAATATTCTATTAGCAGCCCCTAGATCATTCATATCAAACTCAAAACTTAATATAGACTTGAGAAAAGTTATGTCACATGCATTCTTTGCAGCGATGAGCATGTCATCAACATAAAGCATCAAGAGAATAAGAGAATTATCATCAAGAACTTTAAAGTAAACACAACAATCATACTCACTTCTTGAATAGTCAATCCGTACCATGAAATAGTCGAAACGCTTGTATCACTGCCTAGGTGATTGTTTAAGATCATAAAGCAATCTCTTGAGCATGTAAACTGTATCTTCCTTTCCATGCACCTTGAAGCCTTCAGGTTGCTCCATAAAGATTTGTTTCTCCAAATCACCATGAAGAAACATTGTCTTCACGTCAAATTGTTCTAGCTCCATATCAAACATGGCTACTAAAGCAAGCAATAGCCTTATTGAAGTATGCATGACAATTAGAGAGAATATTTCATTGTAGTTCACTCCCTCTTTCTGAGCGTAGCCCTTTGCTATGAGCTTGGGCTTGAATCTCTCACATTCCATTTTTGTTGCTGCCTCTTTTTTCTGAAAGATTCACTTGCACCCAATCACTTTCCTTTCCTTGGGCCTCTTGACAAGCTCCCAAGTCTTGTTCTTTTTCAGAGACTCCATCTCCTCCATCATGGTTATCATCTATTTATCACTTTATGCATCACTTAGAGCATTTTCGAATGAGTTTATTCCCCCAGTACCAACAATTAGAGCAAAGGCTACCATGTCTTCAAAGTCGTATCTCATAGGGACTTTGTGAACACGCTTATTTCTGTCTTTTACCAAACTGTAGGGTTCACCATGTGATTGTTGCTGTTCTGGTATGTTGCTAGATGATTTTTCATCTTCTGGTGTTTCAGACTCTTCTAGCTCCACCTGGACTGTCAATCTTTATTCATCACTTTCATCTACTTGCACTTTATCATCTTGCATGTTGATTGACTTTACCATCTGAGATTCATCAAACACAACATCTCTGCTAAGTACAATCTTATGTGACGTAGGATCCCAAAGCTTGACTCCCTTTACTCCAGTCTCAAAACTGAGAAAGGTGCATTGCTTAGACTTAGAGTAATTTGGAACGTTTCCCACTTTGCACATGGACATAGGCTGGATATCCGAAAATCCTCAGCATAGAGTAATCTACTGGCGTTCCTATCCACATCTCCTCTAGAATTTTGCAATCAATTGTTGTAGATGGTGACCTGTTAACGATGAAACATACCATGTTAACTACTTCTGCCCAAAAACTTTTCTTCAAATCTGCATTCAATATCATACTACGCGCTCTTTCCAAAAGAATCATGTTCATCCTCTCAGGCACACCATTTTGCTGAGGAGTTTCTAGTGTGGTAAAGTGACGTACAATCCCCTCTTCTTTACAGAATTCTTGAAATTCTTTAAACATGTACTCCCCTCCATTTTCTGATCTCAAGCATTTCAGTTTCTTTCTTGTATTTCTTTTTACCTCTGCTTTCCATTATTTAAACTTTCGTGAATGCTTCACTTTAGTGTTTCATGAAGTAGACCTAGACATTTCTTGAGTAATCGTCAATGAAAATAATGAAGTATTCTGCTCCACCCTTGGATTTGATTGGTGAAGTCCACTATACATCAGTGTGTACATAGTCTAGCATATCCTTGCTTTTATAAATTGTAGTTTTGAATCTAATCTTGCACTGTTTACCGAAAACACAATACTTATAGAAATCCAGTTTACAAGCTTTGACACCCTTCAACAATTTTCTTTTATGAGGTTCCATCATACCTTGTCACTCATATGCCCTAAGCGCATATGCTACAGATTTGTGTCATCTGTGTTGAACTCAATATCTGTGGTTATAGAATCTCCACCTATAATTGTATTCCCTATCAACCTGCATAGGTTCCCAGTTATCTGACCTTTCATGACAACCATAAATCTCTCACTAACTTTGAGGACTCCACATGTTGTTGTATACTTACAACTATTCAAATCAAGAGCCCCCAGAGATATTAAGTTTTTCTTTAAGTGTAGGACATGCCTCACATCCGATAATATTCGTACTATCCCATCAAACATCGTGATTTTGATAGTTCTTATTCCAATGGTCTTGCAAACCACATCGTTCCCCATTAGAACAAACCCACCACTCTATGATTTGTAGGTTTCGAACCAGTTTCTATTTGGACACATATGAAAAAAAATAACCAGAATCTAAAATCTAAGAATCAGTAAATTGATTCTTACCTGAAGATATAGAGAAAAGATCTCCATTATCTCCGTTAGAGCTATCGGTCAGGCTAGCTTCATCAGATGTTTTTCTTATTTCTATCATCTTTATATCATCCTTTCTTTTCGGGCAGTCTCTCTTCATATGACCTTCTTTTTTGTAGTAATAGCAAATAAACTTGTCATTCCCCTTCGATTTTAACCGACTTCTGCTTCTAAACCTCATTTAATTTAATCTGCTCATTTCATGATTCTTTTTGTGTTTTCCAAAGAAACTTTTTCCTTGAGATTTAATACTGTTAGTCTTCTTCCTTGTCTCATTTGACATAAGAGTAGCATTGACTTCGTCCGTCTCAAGAGTACAGTAAAGTCGTAACCAGGTGATCATATGATCTTGGAAGCGAAGCCAATAGAAGTAGGGTCTTGTCTTCATCCTCGATTTCGACCTCAAGGCTTGCTAATTGGTGAAGTCGCTGAGATGTTCAAGCTGATCTATATCTTGTTCTATCTGAAGAGAATACAAGTGCTTCTTCAAGTACAACTTGTTCGTTAGAGATTTCATCATGTAGATACCCTCGAGTTTTGTCCAAACCTCCAAGCAGTTTCGAGATACACCACATAACGCAAGGCGTCATTTGAGAGATTCAGACGAATCACACTTACCACCTTTTCCTCCATCTCTTGCCACTCTTCATCGTCCATCTTTACTAGTTTCTTCGATTTCCCTAGCAAAGCCTT